TTTTAGGTTTCTCAGAATAAAAAAATTCATCACAGTTGAACTAGGGTGGGTGGGCGGGCGGGGTTTATATTTGCTCTTGTTTCCTTAATATACATAGTATTCTTTTAACAACCCGATACTCAAAACATGTTTTTTATTTCATGTAAAGAAATAAGTGTTTTGTTGTTAAGCTCCGCCCCATAATGGTTCACGGCGAATAAAAAAACCATCACAATTAAGATAGGGCAGGTGGGCGGGCTTACATTTTGCCTTGTTCTTTTAATATATATGTAGACTTTTTTCACAATATGAAACTTAAAATAAGTTTAAAATGGAAAATTTGTATAAGGAAATATTGATTTTTGCATTAAGCTCCGCCCCATAATTGCAAAATCCATATTTCCTTGCAAAATGTACCATTTTAACCATGTTTCAAGTATCTTGTTGTGAAAAGATGGCTATGTATATTTAGAAAAAGAAGGCAAAATATAAGCCCCGCCCACCCGCCCCAGCTCAATTCTGATATATTTTTTTATTCATCCTAAGCCGAGGGGCGGAGCTTAACTGCAAAATCCTTATTTCTCTACAAGAAATTAAAAATATGTTTTTGAGTATCGTGTTATGAAAAAAATACAGTTAAAGTCAAACATTAAGCCCCACCCATATCTGCCCTGATCTAAATAGTAATGAAGTTATCATTCGTCGGTAGACCTAGGGGCGGAGTCTAATTGCAAAATCCATATTTCCTTACAAAAGTTTACCATTTAGATGTGTTTTAGGTTTCTAGGAATAAAAAAATCATCACAATTAAACTAGGGTGGGTGGGCGGGGTTTATATTTTCTCTTGTTTTCTTAATATACGTAGTATTCTTTGAACAAACCGATACTTAAAGACTTAATTTCATGTAAATAAAAAAATATTTTGTTGTTAAGCTCCGCACCTTTGCTACACGGCGAATAAAAAAAATCATCACAATTGAGATAGGGCGGGCAAAATATAAGCCCCGCCCACCCGCCCTATCTCAATTCAGATTATTTTTTTATTCGTCGTAAGCCAACTTCAAAATTCTTATTTCTCTACGAGAAATTAAAAACATGTTTTTGAGTTTCGTGTTGTTCAGGAATACTATGTATATTAAAAAGAAAGTAAAATCAAAAGTTAAGCCCCACCCATACACGTCCAGATCTCAGTTCTCAGCTGTGATGAATTTTTCGTTGGCTGTCACATCGAGGGGCGGAGCTTAATTGCAGGATCCATATTTGTCTACAAGAATCAAGAATTTACCATTTTAAACATGTTTTAAGGTTGTTATTCTGAAAAGGCGACTACGTATGTTAAGAAAAATAGCAAAATATAAGCTCCGCCCACCCGCCCTATCTCAATTGTAAGGATCTTTTTTTAATCATCGAGATTGCCCTGATCCAAATAGTAATGAAGTTTTCATTCGTTGGCAGACCCAGGGGCGGAGCCTAATTGCAAAGTCCTTATTTCCTTACAAAAGTTTACCATTTTAAACCTGTTTTATTTCTCTAAGAAAAAAAACATCACAATTGAGATAGGGTGGGTGGGCGGGGTTTATATTTTTCCTTTTTTTTAACATACGTAGTATTCTTTGAATAACACGATATTCGAAAACTTATTTTTAATTTCTTGTAAAGAAATAAGTATTTGCAGATGAGCTTTGCCCTCTCGGCTCACGATAAATAAAAAAATCGTCACAATTCAGGTAGGGCGGGTGGGCGGATCTCACATTTTGCCTTTTTGATTCAATATGTATAGAAGCCCCACCCATTCGTCTCGATCTCAATCGTGATGAACTTTTCATTCGTTATCAGACCGAGGGGCGGAGCATAATTACAAAATCCATATTTCCCTATACAAATTTACCATTTTAAACATGTTTTAAGTTTCTTGCTGTGAGAATATGATTACACATATTAAGAAAAAAGGCAAAATGTAGACCCCGCCCACCCACCCTATCTCGATTGCGATGATTTTTTTATTCATTGTCAGATCGAGGGGCGGGGCTTAATTGCAAAATCCATTTTAAACGTGTCTTAAGTTGCTAAGAATAAAAAAAATCATCATAATTGCGATAGGATGGGTGGGCGGAAATTTCTTTTTCAATACGCTACTGAAAAACATGTTTTTAATTTCTCGTAAAGAAATAAGTATTTTGCAGATAAGCCCCACCCCCTTGGTTCACGGCGAATAAAACGATCATCACAATTGAGATTGGGCGGGTGGGCGGGCTTACATTTTGCCTTGTTCTTTTAATATGTGTAGACTTCCTTTCACAATATTAAACTTAAAACATGTTTAAAATGGAAAATTTGTGTAAGGAAGGAAATATTGATTAAAATTCGCAAATTCTTAAAGATTTTTAGAATGTGTCGAGTCTTTAGAATTTTTTAAAGGTTACATATTTCAAACATTTGGAAACTTAAGATTTTGTAAACTTTTGAAATTTTGAGAAAGAATATTTTTTTATCTTCTTTAATTTTTGGGAGTCCTCGTAATTTGTAAAATTTTCGAAATTTTCACATTTTCCAAAATTTTTAAAATTATCAGGCTGCAGTTATACCAGAACTTTGGAATTCAACCTTTTCCAATATTTTCAAGATTTCTAGATCTATCACATAAGACACTTTCTAATTTTTTCCGATTTTCGAAAATTTATATATCTCAATCTTTGGAATTTTTAAAATCTTTGGTATTTTTACAACTTTTAGAATCTTTGGGTTTTTGGAATTTCTCCAGAATCTTTAGAATCTTTCAAGTATTCTAAACAGAATTGTTGCTTTTGACCACCTAAAGTCTTTAAAATCTTTAGTCTTTAGAGTATTTAGTCTTAGAGTTTTTCCAATCTATGAAAATTTTGAACACTGGGAGTTTTATAAAACCTAAAATGTCTGCAGGTTCTTTAAAATTTTAAAGATTTTATTGGATCTTTTTTATATTTAGAACATTTGAACTTTAATTTATTTAAAGTCTGAAGTGTCTTTACATTCGCAATTTCTGGTGTATGTAATTGGTGAAAGCTTTTATATTTTTTCTATAGGTAATCTTTAGAGCTTTCTGATTTTCATTATTTTTAGATACTTGAGAACTATAGAATTTTAAATAGTTTTAGATATTTGGAACATGTGAAATCTTCGAAATTTTTCACAACATTTGGAATCTTTCCACAAATTCGGTCAGAATTTTTAAAAACGTTTTATTACAAATTTTGGAGATGACGTCATCCCATTAGTGATGGGGATGATTAGCAAAGTTTTAGTTAGCGTTTCACCATCTACATATATTTCTAATATACAAATAGAAAACAATCGGTCCGATAGTTTCGGAGGACAGACAGACAGACAGACAAACGGAAACAGTCGATCACTTTTTTTGTACTCTAGAGGTCATGTGGCAATTTGGCAATTGCACTGATACAATACCATTCAGACTGTGTTTACCTAGTCCTTACCGTCTTTACCAACACTAGACAATAAAAGTTTAGTAGATCCAAATAATGTTTATTACACTATAAATTTCCATTTTTGTGGTATTAGTATTTTGGAGAAAGTACAGCAATAAACCTCGACATCTGTTCAGGTCCATAAAAGTAAGCTCGATGTTGGTAAACGTTTAGGCAACTTGTTTACAATTTTTTATAAAGATTCTCGTGGTAGTTGGGCTCGACTGCGAAACTTCTGGCAATATCCGACCTTCGATCCATGTTTGCAAATCCAATTCCCTCCATGGCCGTCCGTCTAATTTGCATGACAGTGCCTCCCCTCCGCCGCCTACTTTTCGCGAGAGTTACGACTTCCTCTACATTTTTTAATAAAAAAATTCATAAAACGTGTGCGTGGTGGAAATATCGGATTAGATCCCAGGACTGGATCCATACATCATTGGGATAATGAAGTCACAGGCGGAGATATTCGAGCCCACCCGTCCGCGATAATTAGACAGAAACGGTAAATCACCTCTCCTTTGTCGATATCTGCCTACCCTTAATTATAATAGGGAGCAAGAAGAAGGATCGGGAAAAAATTGAGAGAAGATAGCTCGCAAGGGCAATATTTATGGTTACTTTTATTTCATTAACGACGTTATCATAAATCGGGAGAGGTCAGAGGAAAGGTCGCTTTGCACGAGGAATTTGTGGGCGGAATTCAAAAATGGCGGAGGCGCCGGGACAGAAAACAACATCGATTTCTCTTATTTATCTTAATGCGTGTTGACACACACGTGCGATTTTTTTAATAAAAGAGCAAATTTTCTTGAACAATAAAAACGCAAATCAGCGCAATTCCAACAATTGCGCGAAATTACACCCCGAAACTAATTATTAATTAAAATTCAAATGGAATCTCGGTCACCTTTAAGTCTCCCATTTCCCGTTCCACAATCACGGGTGTCATCTGGAATTCTTCTAACGTGACCGAGTCCCTGTTTCATTAAACTTTATTTTTTCAGTCCCTTTCATTTCCACCGAAATAACATTAACCGAAACGAAACTCGGCCAGTTTATAATTGGAACTTGTTCGTGCTTGTCGCAATTATTTAAGAAACAACGCGTATGACGGAAATGTAACGTTTTAATTTCGCGCTTTTTTTAAGTAAACACTCGAAAATTTATTATCTGCAGCCGAGGCGCATGCAAATGGAGAAATATAAATATAAGTCACATTACGACGATTAAACGGGCGAACACTCAAGTTTATGTAAATTTGTTCTTTGCAGGAACTAGTTAAATATTTGTTCCAAGTTGCAGATTTAATTGGGAACGATTCTTACGGCTTCGGTTTTTATGAGAAGTTGCGCCGTTATTTACGGACGTTATCGTTATTTTAGTGTTCGATAAACGACGAGATATGTTTTTTTAGGAGCTACAGCGGGCTCGTAAAGAACATTAATGAAATGAACAAGCGCTCGTCTCAAATAAATCTTTCCCTCTGTTCTGATAAACTCTAATCGATGACGCCATCACGAACATATTTCTATAGTTACGGAATTAAAAGATGAGTGTCGTTTTTGACGTTCATCATTCCAAATGATTCCTTTAGACATTGTGGGTCTTAAACACATTGTATTGCTTTCAATATGGATCGACTACCTCTGGGAGCAGTATCTTTGTGCCCGCCAGGTAACTTCAACGTTGTTGAAACACAATTCTAATTTGTTTTTAGTACCAGAAATCTGTCGTCGTGGTGGAACAACCAATTATCTTGAAATCCGCCATGACCAAAAAGGCGTACGACAAAGCAAGGACGTACATGCTGAAACGTAAGCGTTTCACTTTCGTCAAAGACTTCGTCCATGTTATAACATCGTCGATCATCATTGTCTACGAAATCTTACCCATGTCGTGGGCGCACGTCGCTTCGTTCACCCACTTGGACGAAACCTTACGAAACAGCATCTGGTACCTCGCTTTCACCACATGTCTATCTATACTCTATCTCCCACTAACCATCTACGAAGTTTTCGTCATTGAATACCGCAGAGGAGACGAATTTCTGGCTTGGCACAAGTTGAAAACCTTCATCTGGAGCCAAATCATCCTCATGATCATTTCATCAGCACTCGTGATGGTCATTCAACGAGGCGACGAGGTGTTAATCCAGCTCTGGATAACCCTCTGCGTTATAATCTTCCTCGTCGGTACTCTCTACCCTCTGCTAGCGCCCTCTAAGTTCCGCCAACTCACACGACTGCCAGAAGGCTCCCTACGCACCAAAATCTTCAACCTGGCCTCCGATCTTCACTTCCCGCTCAAAGAAATCTTCATCGAGGAACGTTTCAAACGACCGTCGTGCCAAATCATCTATTTCTATGGTGACTCAATCACGAAAAACATCGTCTTGTGTGACCAACTCATCGCGAAGGACGAAGGTGACGGTTGCAGCGACGAAGAAATTCTAGCTCTGGTTGCGTACGAGTTTTCCCATTGGTACTACAACCAAGCGTTCAAGTACGTGGTCGCCTTGGAAGTCAACCTCACGTTCTACTTCGGCGCTTTTTACTTCCTATTTAAGAACCCACAGATTTATCAAACTTTTGGGTTCGTGGAAGAGCGACCAATTCTCGTGGGTGTGTACGTGGTACTGAAGTACGCGATGGGTTTCTACAGTACCATTCTGAGTTTCCTCTTCCTGCAAGTATCGCGGTACTTTATCAAGCAGAATGACAGGTTTGTGACGAGGATGGGTAAAGGCGAGGAACTCGTGCGAGCTTTAGTACGACTTGAGAAAATGAATTCGGCGTTTCCGGTGTACGACTGGCTTTATTCGGCGTGGCACCACGACAAACCAGGTTTGATAGAGAGGATTGCGAACATACGGAATGATGATTTTAAATTCGAATGATTGTCGTATTTGCTGAAATAAAATTCTTGTGTTGTAATTTTGTTTTATTCTTTATGCTGAACCTCCCGTCGGACCAACACCACACTGATTAACGTTGCGCTGATTTCCATAATTGATGGAATAAATTTTTTGCGCTGTAATTTTTGTTTCGTTGTCACTTTCACAGACGTATTTCGATAATGTCGCACTCGATGAAACGTCGAGAAAATTGCTTAATGGCAATCCTTTTGAATTCCCTCTAGGTCGACATTAAACCGTCTAAAATTATAATCGAGTTTGTCATTCGAAAATTACGCACAATTGAAATTTTAATGAATTTACCTTAGATTCTTCTCTCTTGAATGATTCCGCGCATAAATTTTTAACAGTCCCGACTTTAGAATTCTTTTATTGTGTAGTAAAACATTGCAGTTTGCATGAATTATTAAAGCCAACCCAACTTTGGCGAATATTTTGGTCTAAAGCTTTTATAAAGCTTTAATAATTCACGACAACGCAAACGTAAAATATTTTAATTCGCAACCAGAAACGTTCGTGTTCCGCTTTTTTCTTCACTTTGTTAATTTGTCATTTGCTTGAGTGCTTGCACATAAACAGTTTAAGCGAAGATAATCCGCTTGTTTATGTTCACACTTTGTGACGGTCTCATTTGTCTGTTTCATCATTTTAAGCAAAATCCTATAATTTCTTCGAAACTTAGAAATCCACTTATAAATAAAGCTCTCGTCCTACTTTACTTTAATTAAAGTTTTTATTAGTCGAGCAACTTCGACGGCGTTTTCAGGTAAACGCACATAGTTATATCGGATTATCGATCGGAATATTTTACACATTTTTTGTTACGTTTTGTTAAATATTAATCGACACGACTCACGGACTGTTATTAATGTAAATTACAACGTGTTGTCTGACAGATTAATTACGAAATTCCTGTGACAGACTTCATAACGAACTCACCTGAAATAATATTTAACGTGCTCCGCCAGATCCAGAATGTCGTGTCCCAAAGCAAACGAATTACCAGACTCCTTAAACGCGATATCGAAAATGTAAAAAAGTTTAAAATCTGAGATTTTCTTTTAACACGGGTCATACAATTTTTGATAAAACAGATTGGTTTTAGCGCCCCGTGCAAACATTAAAAAAAAATCCGTGTAATCCTGTGAAGAGCCGGGAAGTTTGAAACCTCGTCGAGTTTTGCTTAAGAACTTTTTGTCGCTCTTATATTGAATTTTTTTTACATTTTTGCAATCTCGATAAGTTAGGGCCTCGTTTCGCCGAGTTCTGCCACGTTGGTGTTCTGTCTCATTCGCAGGAGGCTGGGGGAATATATGTATGGGGCGAACAACATAATTTGTGATCAAGTCGTCGTTGAAAAGAATTTGGCACACCGATAAATTGATTAATTTCAGCTAAAATTGTCGAAAATAAAACATGTATATTTTGTATTGTTTAGTTTGTGCAAAAATAAATATTGATACTTATAGTAGCGGCTTTATTAAAATTACCGCGGAACTACAGTGTTAAATAAACTACGAATTTCTGCAAAAATGTATGTAGTTTATTCGGTCGATGAATGTTTAACGTGTGATGAAAATAGTGTTTTTCAATTTAACAATCGTGTGTGTTGCACTGTAACACATTTTCCTGTGTTTCCGAATAAATGCTTACTTACGTACTTTTTCTCCGTTTCAAATCACTAAAAGTGATTATATTTAAACTGTGGACACAATATTTCCAGTTTACTATACGTTTTCGTAACATAATGCATTCGAATTATAGTCAGTGGCGGCTTGTGAGTGATTAAAATATGATACGAATTCAGAAAAACGGGCTCTACAAGAATTCTAAAAATATATAGTATCGTTAAAAAAACTGGTTGATAGTTACTTAGACAGAACTTCCCTAGCCCTCAAAGTAAAGTCGAGCAAATACAGCTTCGAAAAATTATTACCAACTTTAACTTCGAGAATTCTTTTTTTATCATCTTTATAGTCAGTTTTTCCATATATATATATATTTTTTTTTGATAACGTCATTAACATTTTATTCATTGTGAGCAAAGAGGCGGAGCTTAATTGCAAAATCCTTATTTTTCTACGAGAAATTATCATTTCAAACATATTTTCAAGTAAACGTGTTGTTCAAAGAAAATTTTTAATTAAAAAGGAAAGCCATAATTAAGCTTCGTCCTTCGGCTTACGACGAATAAAAACATTCATCACAATTGAAATAGGGCGGCTGGGCGGGGTTTGTATTTTGCATTTTTTTTTATGTGCACCTAGTTTTCTATTCATAACAAGAAACTGAAAACTTGTTTAAAATGGTAAATTTGTAGAGAAGTGTGGAAGACAAAATTTGCCATTTTAAACCTGTTTTTAGTCTTTTGTTGCGAAAAGTATGTACTATATTAAGAAGAAAGAAAGTCAAATCATAAGCCCCGCCCACCCAACCTGTCTCAGTTGTAACGATTTTTCTTTATTCGTTGTGAGCAAAGAGGCGGAGCTTAATTGCAAAGTCCTTATTTTGCTGTGAGAAATTACCATTTGAAACATGTTCTTAAGTAAACACGTTCTTCAAAAAAAGGTTTCAAGTAAAAAGGAAAGCCAAAATTAAGCTCCGCCCCTCAGCTCACGCCGAATAAGAAAATTCATCACAATTGAGATGAGGGTGGCTGGGCGGGGTTTGTTTTTATCTTGAAAGGGAACTATATCTATTTAGTACTAATAGACTCCTTAGAGTTTTGGAATATTTTCACAAATTCAGTTAAATGTTTAGAATTAAATTAAATTTTTGGAATTTTTGAAATCTTTACAGTCTCCAAGACTTATAAGATAATAACTAGGTTGTTCAAGCCTTTCAGTGCTTTTAGGATTTATAAAAATTAAAAAAAGCATTTTTCCGATCTTTACTATTTTTAGGTCTTTAAGATTTTTGCAAGTACTAGCTAAGATACAAGTGATTTTGGCAGATGACATACCCTCTAAGAATAAAGAGGGTGGGTGGGCGGGGCTAATAGCTGCCAAGATAAGACTGATTTTGGCAAATGAGATATTCTGTAAGAAAAGACAGGGCGGGTCTTTCAAACCAGTGAAAACTTTGGAAAAGTGGAGTCCAGTAATCCAGACAAAAAGTTAAAACTAACCCCACCCACGTCCGCTTTTGCATTTCATTGGTTTTTTTATCAGATGAAAACTCAATTTAATTTTGTCAAGCGGTCGAATCCACGCTTAAAAAATTCGATGTGGCCCCGCCCACCCACCCGGGTTTCCTCCTGATCACTCATTCTGTTGGACAAAAGGGGAATTTTATAGTCATAAACAACAAAATCTAGACAAAAAACGTAAAACTAATCCCCCCCACCGCTTTAGAATTTCATTGTTTTTGTTTTTTGATTAGATGAAATCTGAATTTTACTATGTGAAGTGGTGAATTAGACCTAAAAAATTCAAAGTGGCCTCGCCCACCCACCCTCTCTTTTTTTAGAGGGTATGTCATTTGCCAAAGTCAGTGTCATCTTAGCAGGTACTAGCCCCGCCCACCCGCCCTCTCTTTTCTTAGAGGGTATCTAATTTACCAGAATCAGTCTTACGGTAACAAGTACTGGCCCGGATCCCCGTCCTCTATTTTCTTAGAAGGTATGTAATCTGCCACAATCAAACCAGTGGACTCGTAGCTGCTAAGATAAAACTGATTTTGGCAGATGAGGTACCCTCTAAGAAAAGAGAGGGCGGGTGGGCGGGGCTAGTAACTGCTAAGACCAAACTGACTTTGGCAAATAACTTACCTTCCAATAAAAAAGAGGGTAGGTGGGCGGGGCTAGAGGCTGCTAAGATAAGACTGACTTTGGCAAATAACTTACTTTCCAAGAAAAGAGAGGGTGGGTGGGTGGGGGTAAAACTTGCTAAGATAGAACTGGACAATAGGGGTGGGTGGGTGGGGCTACGTTTGCCCATAAAACTAGAAAAAAGCTGAACTTTTTTACTTTTACAAAAAATGATTACGAGCTTACTTATTGCACAAGGCAGAAATTTTGAACATCTTCTGTAGTGTTTAGTTGGTTATGCTTTAATGGATTTTTCTTTTATTTGTTTTATTTTGGTGCGTGCAGTGCTGCCAGATTTTCTTTATAAATTAAAGACTACAAGGATTTGAGAAATTTCAAAATATTAAAAACAATTAGAGAAGCCAGCAATTTAAAAATTCTAAAGGGATTGTTCAGTTTACCTGAACAGGGGTTTGGGCGTAGCTAATTTGTTCACCCTACTCCCACCCGTTTTAGGGTAGTTTACCTAATTTTGTTATTTCATGCTCTCGGGGAGTCGTCGAGAAGTATCGAGAGGGTAAAGACGTGCCGACCCGAGAGACCGGCAATTTATATTATTTGTGCGTTATTAAATAAACCGTGTAACTAAAAGGTGATTTTTATTTCGCGCAAAACAGGGATTTCAGGGATTTCAAAAATTCCAAGTTCCAAATATTTAAAAATTGGAAAGATGATAAAATTCCCAAGATCTAAAAATGCTTATTTAAAATTCTAGAGATACAGAAGTATCTAAAAGTAATGAAAATCTGAAAGCTCTAAAGATTATAAAAATTCTAGTGATTCTAGCTTCCAGAGATTCTAAAGTTTCCAGTGATTTGAAAGATTAAAAACGTATAAACGTTAGTTTTACCTTTTCGTCTAGATTCCAATGTTTATCAATATAAAACCCACTTTTTGTCCAATAAAATGAGTGATCAAGAGGAAAATCTGGTGGGTGGGCGGGGTTATTTGAATTTTTATAAATATGTACCTAAATTCGGTCACATGAACTTTTTTGCTTTTACAAAAAATTATTACGAGCTTACTTATTGCACAAGGCAGAAATTTTGAACATCCTCTCGAATTTTTAGTTTTCTTTTTTTGGTTTTATTTTTGCTTATAATTTATAAATGTGTGTTATTAATGTTTTTTTATTTCATGCACCTGACCTGTCCTAACTTCTCTACTGCCCCAAATAATTTTTTTTAAACAATTCTGTGAATATATAAAAA